TTGTGTGGCATGACCATCACCAAGGGAGCTGTTAAAAACAACCTAATTGATATTTGAATCAACGAACACGCTGCGTGGTCAGACGTGGATATTAATCTGAAATTAAACACGCGCTGCAAGAAACATGCATGGTCGAAGTAAACATTAAAAAAAACTTTTTTGTGCGCATGTATATACTTTCAAAGGAGCTGCAAAAAATCAAATGTGTCACTGAACTCACGATACGACCTTGTCAACACCCGATGAAAACCTCGGCAAAAGTGAAACTCTTATGCAACTGAACACACCGCATTGAAATGGTGCCAGGGACTCAACAGGGCAGAAGTAAGTTTATACTCTTCACACTGACCTCCTAATAAATTGAAAGCCGTGTGACAAACTTGGCATTCAAGCAACATAAATCCGAGCGCTATATACAAATGCGCGGGAGAAAGCGTGGTGGTAGTTTACCGACAGCCTTGAGAAGACACGAATGCCGCAGGAAATGCGCGTTTTAGCGGTAACATACATATATAATTTGCAAAGGCAGCTGTTCACCATCGACATTCACATAGCACTCGCTCAAGGACATCGTGTTTGACTTGCGGGGTCTCGCAAATGTTGTCAATGAATCGCTCTCGGTTCAGATAAGATTCACACCGTGAAAACACGTTTGTAAACTTCTTAAACCTTCGAAGCATGTCACTGCTGCTCGCTCATCGTACGAAACAACGGAATTCTCTTCGTGCATGCTTGAGATCGTTTCCGAGCGAGAGTTGCTTGATCGTCGTACTGCCCCCACTTCCCTTCCCATCGCGCTGATAGATACATGTGTAAATCAACATAACTGCAAGCCGTGGACTGCGGTGCATTTATTTCATTTTTTTACGAGCGCCCAATGAAGGCAGCTTCACCCGTTCAGCGGATCGAATGTGCGCGTAGATTTCTCTGGCACGGAACTGCATTTGTTCGCCGTGTCGTCACCACACGCGGTATAGTGATACGTCACAGAGAGAAAGGCTGCGCAAACTGCGTGTGATGAAAAGCGACGGGTCACCGCTGCGTGTAGGCTGACGTGGGTTTTTTTTTTTTTTTTTTTTATCTCCAGAGGTGGTGGTGTGATAATCGTGTGATCGGCGTCTGCATTTCGGCACCGCTTCCCCCGCCTTTCGCTGGCTCGGCTTGTCCCCACTGTAGCGGTCAGCTCTGTTGCTGCTGCATTACCAGAGGGTAAAACCGATAGTGCTGCGCGTGCTGCGTCGTGGTGCACATAGTCGCGAAACTGGGCGCCGACCGGGACGATCCGTTTTTTAAGTTCACCCGATCGTTTAGCGTGTACGCGAAACGTGAAGCATGTTTTTTTCTTTTTTTTCCCCCCTTTGTTCGCGCGCTTGTCTCGCCTCAGCGCGCAGTGAAGCGGCGCTGAAAATGTCCGGAACGCAGCAGCCGCCGCACCACGCGCCGTTCGTGCCGAGACAGCTTGACACCTTTTGGGAACGCTCGCATTCAGTCCCTTTTCTTCCTCCTCTCACAAAGCCTTCGACACAACACGGCTCCGAAACAGCAGGAGGGCATATGCGAGCGGGACGCGCTTTGTTCCGCGAGGCCCTCGCGTTTCACCCCTTATTGCACGTAAAAGGTTATTTGTGCGCCACTAAAAAAAAAAAAAAGAAAACGATGGCTAAGACAGATGCGAGCTTTCGCATCTATCTGTTCCCGGTCCTCATTCTTTAAGTGCTGCGTAGTACCATAGTAGCATGGTGCCCTCATCTCTCTTTAGTTTCTATGTCAAGAATTATTTACCTCTTCTTAGGAGCTTAGGCAAAAATTTTCTTCGGGGGGAGGTGAGAGGCATCTACTTGATTTCAGCGGGCACCGATGTGGTGATTTTTCGCTCGTGATGCCATGTGGAAAAATTTTCGTGGCAGGGGCGCACGAGCTATGGTGTGCCACCCCCTGGCTACGCCACTGCCTCTTTCAGGAACATTGCAGAATTCATAAGTAGATATTTTCCCCTGTCTTTCCACACTTTCAACCTTCTACGTCCGACACGCATAGATTACAGTTGAATCATACCTCAGCCTTTGAGCACAACGCTCTCTAATTGCTATGCCACGATAACGTGTTCATGCTCATCTCGCGACTAAACCGACAGATGAATGTCTTAGATGTTTGCCACGAGCGTCACATGCCAGTTTGTAGCGCTTTTTTTTTTCGCGACAGTTCGCGCTGTTGGTGCAGCACTGCCTTCAGGAACCGCCCAAATTTTGCCTTACGTATCTCGCGGTAGCTCGTGCTACGCATTGGAAACGGTACGACGCTGTACCGCATGCATGATCAGCCACAATAGAAAAAAGGTTTTGAAGTTTCACCGCTTTCACTGTTTGAATGCTGATCAATCAATTTGTCGTTTAAAAATGCGCTACGTCACATGAACGCATGAATGTGCGATTACATAACACATTGTCGCTGTTGGCGTCACAGTGATGCTTCTCTCTCACGCGCGGCTTTGCGCTCTTCGCGTACTGCATATATGACTTAGCATCCGACAATATAGACATGTGTTAAACTGACGTCGCCTGTCCAAAGCAAACGTCACGCAGTCTATATACGCTCATGCTCTCATGCGAGCGTAGCATGAGCACAACTCTTTTCGAAGCCCGAGTCAAACTCATGCTCGCATGATAGCTGTTTTTTTTTTTCCTTATAAAAAGACATGGTTCACCTGGTAACACTTCGCGTCATCCCAAGCCCACTACCGGATACACAATTTGCATATCATCTGTTTCCGCAGTGCATGTAATCTGCCTATCTCCACCTCCTCTTCGTTTTTTCATTGCCGTTGTCCAAGGTTTAAATGCTGTCCACCCTCCATGACATGCGACTGATTAGCAACGCGTCGCACCCGAATGACCTTTTACTTGCGTGGATATGCGATTCTCATGAACGCTTCATCGCTCATGAATGCTACAAACTATCTAGTATAACAAAAATCAAGCATGCACTTTCGCATCTTCATACACGTAGGCATATTGCTCTAATGTGCTTGCTACACAAGACAATATACGGTAACTGTCAAACCACACTGCATCTTAGAAAACCGCATCGCTCTTCAAGCCTTCTGCATAATAGCATGTGCTTTCAACGTCTGTAAGAGCGAACGCACGCATATAGCAACTCTGTACTTCCTCGGGCATAAAAATGTGGAACGGGTTCCCTGGCACCATTGTAAACATACTTGACCCCACAACTTTTAAAAATAAGCTCACTCTATTCTTTTCCTCATATATTTCCCGCATACAAGTGTTTTATCAAAGAAATTCATTGTCTTACTGCTGTACTTCAAGTAGTTGTCACATGTTTAGTGTTCGGTCTATACATTTAGATTGTATTTTTTGAGTAAAATAGATTTCTTTACTGTGGTTGCTTTGCTCATATATATTATATATTGTCATTGCCTTAGCGTGTTTTGCTGTGTTTCTTTTCGTCCCTATTAATGTATTTTTCAATCATCTGTTTCTTTTCTATTGTAATACTGAATTCGCTGTATGTTGTACAATAATTTTCTAGTTCTTGTTTATACGGTCTTACCCCCCCCCCCCTCACACAATGTTCTAAACATAGGACCCCGTGAGGTGTTTGTATAAATAAACGAATAAATGCTCTGAAATAATAAATAAATGAAATTTCAGTTGCGTTCAACTATCTTAAAACTGCTGTATATCGTTTTCACTGATCGCACTGCTATCAACGCTCGGTATTCGCACCCCTACCAATAACTCATCCACACTCAAGCCACCTTTTTTCATGTATTCGCTGTGATACGTCCCAGTGTTCCCGTCTCCCTTTTCGTGCGCCCCTCCACCGCCTCGATAATCGCGCACTTGCCGTGTCGAGGGCGCCTTCACTTTCGCGGCGCGAGTCTCAGCGGGACATTTATTGTAGGAGCTTTTTTTTTCGCGATTTCAGGCGAAATACTGGGAATAATTTAGGTTATTTTCTTTAGCTTACAGTACTATTTTAGGTCTTGTTGGTTTATTTTGTGCATTGTTTGCCTTGTTTTCAACCTGTTGACCACTTCGTGACCGGGATATGACACACTGGACGGGTGACGAGCCGGGCCCTGAAGTGCAAATCGTTTTAAAAAAATTGGCCCCCTATCTGCATGTTAATCTGCAAAGGTCATCGAAAGACGATAGTCTTGTTTATGGAGAGAGTGAACAAAACATTTATTTGATGTTCTGCGCAAGAAAATCGGTGAATGGTATTTTGGAGGCGCTGCGTTAGAATGCCTCGAGCGTGCAGCGGAGGCGAACGAGCGCATCAAGTCACGTCGCACGAGAGACATGAGTGCTATCTGGCAGTTATCCTGGAAACGCAGCATGCGGATCTGACGCGGGCGTGCGCGCCCGTCTCAGAGGTGATAAGGTGTAGAACGCAAGGCGACGGGTAGGTGCCACCACCGTGTCGTCTTGGCAAAACGTTGGAAACACTCGCATTTTCGGGCAAGCGTTGCATGGTCAGCGCAACGCAACGTGATAAATGCTATGGTCCTTAGAATTACTTATGTATGCCTTTTCTAGCAAAAGATGCACATACAGAATATATACGTGTTGTTATGGTGCCTCAGATATACGCAATAAATGCTGAATCTTGAGCAGCATTGGTGGGTGCTGCGGATGGGATTTTGATGGGCGCTGCGGATGGGGTCGGCCGTTTGAGCTATCGGCTGGTGCCGTTTAGAGTACCCACAACCGTTAATAATGGACAAACAGACAAATGCATGAACAGACACAGACAGACCAAAATTTTTGCGTCGAAGGTCCCCGAAACACGTCTTTCAAAAGATCATTTTGCCTAGGCTTCCGAGTTCAATGTTCAATTTGAAATTGCGGCACCACTCACGGGGGCTCACATGTCAGAGTCGGGAAACTCAGTCTGTGTAAGTGTGCGTGCATGCCTGTGTTGTGCATTTTTATGCACCTTCTAATAAGTATGGATATTATTTTTCGGCTATGCAGTTCCTCTGCCTGAAAAACATCCGGACGTTTCTGCAAACCTGCAAGAATGTCTTCAACCTCAGCAACAGTGACCTTTTCGAGCCCAACATGCTGTTCGAGTATGGGGACTTCAGAAAGGTGCGTAAGAAGGCGGCTTTGCTGCTATACCGCTGATGCGAGAGGGAGAGAGAGTGTGTGTGTTTGTGCATGCATGCGCGTACACCCACACGCCGTGCCGTGTTCCAGAAAAGTGCAGGGGTGAGTGCACTAGCTTTCATCAAAGAGCGCTTCGAGACAGCGTATAGCACCGTGGGTTCTACTGCTGATGCACAGTAAATTTACATAGCATTGAAATTAAAACATTCATATGGAGAACAGTGCACTTGTGTTTCGAAGCCCTGTATAGATTTGGTCAATCCAAATGAAAGCGTGGGATGTTATCGTCGTGGCGCAAGGACCGGAACTGCTAAATTGCACCTATACATTTACGTATAAAAGCGACCCATTTTTACGTTCCTGACCTCATTCATTGCAGCATCAGCTGTGGACCATGTTTGTGTAAGTAGCTAAGCAGCTTCAGTCAGGTCGGCAGTCCCTATAGCAGCGTCTCCAAATTGCGTGCATCACGTTGCCGGCGCCCTCTTGCAGTCTGTACACGCTGCAGTGCATTTCATTTTTTCGATGCTGCTTTTACCGTTGAGGGCTCAGCAACAGCTGCCGTATTAGTTTTCTCTTATTCTTTTAACTCGAACATGAAGTTCACTTGCCACTTGAGAGAGTTGAGCGTACAGAAAGCGCGAATTTCATCTTGTAGGCTTTTATTTTCTGTTTTTTTTTTTTCAGTGAAGCGCTGTTCGTTAGAACGGTCACGTCTATTTAACTATCTTCTCCTTGTTATAAAGTCAAGTACAGCGAGTAAAGAAAGGAGAAAAAAATAAGTCTGTAAATTATGTATGAGCGAGCCTATTTCTGATCCGAAAGTTCTTTCGAATGTATCCCAATTTTTTCTTTTTTTTTTCTGATTAAACACATGTCCGAAATCACATTGCAGGTGCTACACACGCTGGCGGTGCTCTCGAGATCCCCCAAGGCGGAAGAATCCGGTGTTAGGTGAGTCCTGATCCGTCTTTCTGTTTTTTATATTCCGGGTGATGGTAGATGTGCCCGACTGTACTGCACAGAGGCGTCTCTTGGTGGAAGGATTAAAGGATCTTTTCTTTCGAAAGCGCCCTTCAGTCCTTTTCACTGTTTACTATGGCATATACTCTGCAAGGATTGTTAGTTTTATTTTTGTTGTTATTTTGAATGAGGAAGCGTCCCTCCCTTCTTTGTACTTTCATCTTCTCAGGTATGTTTGACACATAAAAAATTAACTCTAAATCAGAACCAAGTTGAAGGCTGATTCGCATCCAGGATTCTTTCATTTTTTTTCACGGCAAAAAGCTTCCTTGCAGTAAAACATCACTGCCGTTGTTAGCACCCTCGGCTCGCTCTGTAGACCATATGCTTTAAAAAAAAAAGAACTATGTCTATAATTTGCACCGTAGAAAGTGTGCAGTGGGCGATGCACAACAAAGCACAGCCGGACTGAAAGTATGTATGCGTGTACGTATATATATAACTTATGATGCTTTTGTGGCACCGCCTTTGGGTGGAATTTTTTTAGGTGATTTGTTTTTAGTAATGAGCCGACTTTTTGCCATCCTTGCGTCACATCTGGACCGAGATGCTCAGTGGTTAGCAAAAGCCGAAGTAAAAAAGTTCTAATTGGAACTGTGTTTTGTAAAGATTATTTTTCGTTTTTTTTGTTGTTGTTCTTAGTGTCCCTTAGTCATTGCTTTCACAACTCCACGCACTTCCACAGCACTGGTATTTATTATTGGGTGAAATGGATAATCCGACATATGCCTGAAATCGGAGAATTTTTACGAAATGCGACTCAACTCTCCAATACTTTGCAGTAATTTGCCTCACTTTTTTTTTCACTCTGATATGTAATGTCTTTGATTACCCATCACCACTACATACCTACTATCGTGATCGGTCACTTGGGGCAAGAAATGACTGGATCTACGTAGAAAATTGCGTCACGAACAATTTAGAGCATGCTGGAGCTCTGCCTTCAAAAGTAGAACGTGACCGCGCAATCAGGCTTCGTTCGCATCGCCTTCTGAGTGACTAGCCTGGCTTTGCCTCTCAATGGACAACGCAGCCATGCCGCAAGAAAAGGATTGTCTGTGCGCGTGACACTCGCTAATTCAAGCTATCCTATAGAATGATTTGTATAGGTGCTGTAGGGAAGTTTACACTACATAGGCAAGAAATCTCCTTTTTGCGAATTGGTGAGGTACCCACTACTACGCATCCGGAAGGCAACCTGCACAGCTGCATACGTTGCTGTTGCTGATGATTAGCTATACCAGTGTGCTTTGTAATGAACGGGTGTGCCTTTAAACCAACTACTCGTTGCGCAGTTCATATGCTTCAACGCCTGGTGTGATGGCTTCTACGCTGCTGCCATGCAATCTTTGCATGCATTAAGGACATTCATCGCACTACAAGGCATTCGCATATGGTGTTTTTTGAAGTACTTTCAAACACGAGCAATAAGGAATAAAGTGTGGCCGTGCCCTTGTGGTAGAACACCAGCTTGTCACGTAAAAGTCCTAGGTTCGAATCCCACTCGAACAAAGTGTTTTTATTATTTTTATTTTGAAGTTTCGTTTATGGACAACGCTGATTATTCACTCGCAACCATCGACGTTGACATTAAGTAATAGCTGAGTGACTCGGAGGGCTAGCGGAGGGGCCAGTGGAGTTGGCGTCTCCGCTCGTTCGCATGGTCCCGCTGAGCCACCCAGCTACTAATCTCTAATGACACCAACGCCGACATCCTAATTTCTGTGAAGCGTAGCTCATTGTATAAATGGGGGTAACGCACAAGTGAAACACCAGGTTATTTGAGTATATGTCTCTTTATTCGCTCAGATGTGGGCAACATTGATAATGCATGAAATGTATTATGCCCAAAATATAGTTGCAACGACAAAGCTGTGGCTCTGAAGTGTTTCTTTAGAGTGTATATATGTGTCACCATAGGGCACATGTCAGTAATGGACCCTTTTCACGGGTGCCTTCTGCGCATGTGCACCGGAAAAACTCTGACAGCGCCTCCCCAAAACATTTTTGGTGGCCCGTGCCTCCGAAATTTATCAGCGTGCCATCTCGGACATGTGCTCAGGGCCCTCAGTCGGAGCTCGTGCGCATGCAGGGCTGACACGCGCACTGCGGCTGCCCTCGCTTGCCGTGGCGGGGCTGTCCGCGTTTTGCTTAGTTAGTTACGCCTGCAATGTACGTAGTGGTGTGCAAAGCGCTCGAGTGCTGGCAATTTATATGGCAATAGGTTATGAATGTTACATTTCTACAACTACGAATAGCCATAACTTGAAACACAGTTCGCATTGCTCCTGTAGAAAGCTGCAATCAGAATTCGCATTTGGCAGTATCGTAATCGCTGGTAAATGTTTTTCACTGCACTTTTAACTTTATCGATTTCAAGAAACTTTGAATGCGTATTCTCACAGGTACAATAGTGATATTTGCCAAATTATACAACTATAAGTCATTTAGTCTTTCTTAGAAAACCAATTTTAAAAAATGGTAGTGAATTCTGGAGTCACACTTGTAAACGTTGGCCACTCTTTGTATGCGACGCAAGTTTCTGCTCTTTGTCAAAATCGTGCCTTGTCCAGCAGATGGATACAACGCGCACTTTCTTCTATATGGCACGACAACGATGCGAGCACAGTTCAGTTTTTTCAGCTGCATACAGTGGGTTAGTCGTTGTTGACGTCGGTTCTCGCAATGCTCCTTGACTTGAACTTGACTTGCCACTACCTTCAGTGCAATGTTTGAAACGTGTTTGTGCTGCATTGAAGGTAGCGGCAAGTCAAGTTCGAGACAAGGAGCTTTTCTGGATATTGAAGTAAGCATGCAAAATAGTGAGCAACAAGGAGATCGATTCGGAGCATGTCAGATGCTTCAAAAGCCAGTGGGTTGAAATCAAAAGATGATGCTTCCGTGCTCCCAAAATTAGCTGCAATCATCGCTAAACTTGTCACTTGTAAAGTTCAGACGAGCTGGCGCAGCTTCATTCCGTGTTGGATGGCATCGCCAACTTCCTTTTCGCGTGTCAGAAATATTTACACACTGGCTAGCTGTGGCAGTGTGCAGCGGATTTTGTGACGTCACCCGATGCCTACCATGGAGGACAGAGCAGCTCTCTGTTTCAGTTTTGACTCATCATTCATTGCTTCATCAAAATTATTCACGAGTGTCTGGGCAAAATTACCTACCCTAACTGTTGCAAGACTGTCAATACTATTTGAAAATGGCATTATCTATGGTATCTCAGTAGCGACGAGCGACAAACGAGATCGGTCGCGTCGGGTGCAACCACATGTTGACGACAAACTACCATTTTTGCTAGATTGAAAACTATATCGTGCATGCAGATAAATTGCGAAAATAACTTTAAAAAAGTAAATGAATGACAACATGCCAAGTTCAATCGTGCCTTGTGTGGAAAAGGAAGCCACAAAAATATTACGCGACTTTCTTTGTCGCAATCTTTTGTGTCCCCGCGACAGCAGTATCTGCTGTGTCTTCATGCGGTGCCCAGAAGCGTACGCTAACTTTATAACAATGACAATGCTGACATTGCATCAAGCTACTGCCGAAACATCAAACGAACCGGGATAGCAAGTTCAACTACAAAATACGGCCGCTGGCTCATTGTCCGCGTGGAATGTGGCTGAAAAGTGTAAAGGGTAGGAAGGTAAATGGCAGGTACAGCGGGCATCTTTACGGTAGCTCGCCCACAGCCGTTGTTTGCATAGCCGATCTTCACCAGTGAGGGCACGCATTCTTAGGAGTCTGAACAAAGGTTTATTTACATGATGAGAAAGATGAAACTGTACAAAGATTCAGCCACTATTTACAAATGACTTCGGCTTTTATAGCCCGTCGTTTTCTGTACACGTCAGTCCGAAGAAAGCGGTGACCACTCTTGCCGCGAATTAGGTGACGTGAGGTCTCAGTGGTCCACCCACCAGAAAGGGTGCAGATGTTGGACCACTCAGCTGATGAGAAAGACGGGTGCAAATGTCCAATGGGTAACACAAGCGCACCCCACAATGACGCTCCCGGCCCATGCCTTGAAGACTTGGCAGGGTGAGGAGATAGAGTCTGGTGGAGGGGGAAAGGTGAGCTCCTCTGGCGAGAAGATGGACGCTGACATGACTGGGACCAACGGTCCATGGCTGCATTCAAATACAGTGTTCTGCAACTTTCTCTAACTCGGCAGGCCAGTTGCTCAATCCCTGAGAACTACGACTGTGACGCCTTCCCGTGCTTCCGAACTGTTGGTTATTTGTCACGACCTGGCGAAGGCGACAATGGCTATGTGGAAAAGTCGACTTCACGAGATCTGCAACAGTGATGCCATCTCACGCTGTTCGACCTCACTCAACAAAAGGGTTGTTCGTGGAGCTTTGTTCGAGAAGCTTTGTTCGAGTTCACCGATTTGCGTCAGTTTTTGACGAAAGTGCATTGAATTTAGGTTTCGATGACCTTGTGGCAAAGTGCGCCAAGGTGTACAGCACCCTGGACATCACTGCACAAGCCATTTGCAACATTGAATCTAGAATGCGGAAGCAAAGCATGTGCACACAGTGATACATGTACCGGGCTGGTCGAAAAACGGCATCACTGTTCTATGATGTGTGCCACATGAAGCTAGAGACTGCTACATTCAGCCTCATTAAACGCATATGCTACCCTCATGAATTCAAGTTATCAACTGCACCAGGGAAGTACGGCAAAGAAAATGAAGTGAAAGCTTTGGAAAAAATAAAGCTTATCACAAATGCATGCCATGAAAATCTGTTGTTCAAAGACACTGGCCTTTTGTTGTAAGAACAGCACTTCTTTATAGGTGCAACACCCGACTTGCTCGTACAATGTGCCTGCTGTGGTGTAGGGCTTGTTGAAGTTAATTGTCCGTAGAGCATGTGAGATGGAAAGCTAAGTGAACTGCTACACGAGAGGAA